TATAAAGCGGTCTATTGGGATGCTTAGAGATTGGGGACGTCCTATAAACCCAATTTTGTTGTACGAACTGAGGGTTGGGTTTCTTGTACAGTTATTGAAATTCAACTTTTTTGAAACTTTTGCCTAAATTTTCTTTTGTAAATATTCCTGATTGTAGGAACACTGAAATAATTATGAAGCTGTTTTTGTAATGGCAACTTTTTTTCACTTTGGAATGAAGGGAAAGCTACTTTGCTACTTTTTGGTAATACTTGCACCCTTTTCAGATCTTGTTAATTATAAAACCTTTTTCTGGGCAATCATCATCTTATTCTCTTTCTAGTTTTCAACTCCACCTTTAAGTCGCTAATGGAGTCACGCTTATTTTCATTTCTTTTAATTTTTTTTCACTACACTTAAAGGGTCGTTTATTAAATACTTACTTGGTAAGTGCTTACCGGATAAATTTCCTTATCGGATAAACATGAGAAGGGCTAAAAATCGTATCTAGTAAGAGCAATGAAAAAGATGGAGTCTCTAATTACCCGGTAGGTAAGGACGACGACTATTACCCGGTAAGTAAGGATGGCGACTCTTACCCAGGTAAGGGCTTACTTAGTAAATTGTTGCATCCAGTATGTTTTGATTTACTAAAATCTTACGCATCAAACACTATAACAAAATCGGGTTTATAGGATACTCTCAAATTCTAAGTGTCCTAATAGACCCCTTTATAGGACTTAGTTTATAGGACCAAAAAAAATAAAGCGTCAAAATCAAAAGGTGTTGTAATAAGTGTATATGACGTTTTTTTTTATGTCGTAATAAGTTTTTGATGACATTTTTAATATTAAGCGTCACATTATCAACTTTATAGGACACTATTTGAAAAATTGTCCTATAAAAACAAATGTCCTATAAAAAGATTGAGTTTATAGGACACTTTCTCAAAAGTGTTCTATAAAGTTGCTAATGCGATCTTTTGTATTAAAAATGTCCTAAAAACGTGATAAGACGTCCAAAAACGTCATATAAACTTATTATAACACCTTTAGATATGACGCTTTATATTTTGGTCATATAAATGAAGTCCTATAAAACGGTCTATTAGGACGCTTAGATTTTGAGGTGTCCTATAAACCCAAATTTGTTGTAGTGAAAATAAATTATAGTGTTGACTCCTATAGCTAGGTAAACATTTGAGTAAACGACCCCTTATTTTTTATAAATTGATTTCAAATATGAGTGAAATTTTGATCATCATTCGCGATGGTCAAGTCTTTAAAGACTTGATACATCGGATTTTCATTAAATAAAACTCATCTTCAAACTTATTAAAACAGCGTCTATCAAAAGCTTTGTTTTTAATTCATTTTTAGTAAAACGTACATGAATTATCTCCATCTATTTGGAATGTTTTATAAAACCGCTTCTATAATTTGTCGTTATTTTATGTCCAATTACATTTTTCTAAAACAAATAATATTTAACAATAACATACAATTTAAAAAATTACAATACGATAATAAAAAATATACGTAAACCTAATGATATGTACTTTTCTATAACAATAAACTATATATATACATAAACTATCATTTCTAAAAACAAAAGTATTTAATTTTTATGTTTTTTGATATTCGATATTGGTGTCATTTTGATCGTCTTTACAAGCACTTTCCAATAATGTATTTTGTTAAAAATAATAATAATAATAATCCATTTTAAGTATGTAATAAATGAAGCATTATTGATTCAAAGCGGAAAAATGAAAAATGTAAGTACGTGATAGCTTAACGATAATATATGTACATAACGTTCTTTCAATCATCCCCTAAGTTTTTGAATGTCAAATCTTTCTTCAAGTTATTTCTTAAATGGTTAATCTTTTCATCAAGTGATTTTTAATTTCTTCATTAAGTCTTTATTTTTACCATTAAAGATGTTATATGTAGACACTAAGGGTGTAAATGATACGAGACAACTCGTGACTTATTCGAGATTGACTCGGTCAACACTCGACTCGAATAGACTCGGCTCAAATTCGAACTTGACTTGACATATTAACGAGTCGAGTCGAACTACCCAACACTCGACTCGAAAAGGTCATGAGATACTCGATTTTTTATATATAATTATTTAAAAATATTACCAGTTTTATAATATAATATGCATAATACAATATGGTAAAAATGTCTTATATTTTTAAATATTTGAACAATGATGTGCATTTTCAATTATAAAACTATATCAATAATTTTTTTTACCAAAATCATAATTAAAAAAAGACAAAAAAACTATAAAAGTATTGGTGATAGTTGTTATAAAAAGAAAGGGATGTGAAAAGTTTGTAACTTAGCCTTTTTGATGATGAAGTTTGAGGTGCATCCTTTTAGTATTTTTAAATTAAAAAAAACAAGGAAAATTGCACAAAAATGGAACTAACTTTTACCTAATTCCTATTTTGGGAAACCAACTTTAAAAATCGTCATTTTGGGGAACCAACTTACACCTGATTTCTATTTTAGGGAACCAACTTTCAAAATCGTCATTTTGGGGAACCAACTTGCAAACGATTCTTATTTTGGGGAACCAACTTTCAAAATCGTCATTTTGGGGAACCAACTTGCACCTGATTCTTATTTTGTAGAACCAACTTGCAAAATAATTATAGAAAAATAACTAAAATTCGTTTTTTTCAAAAATTAATGCAATAAAATCTATTTTTCATTTAAAATCTCGTTTTTTTTAATTCAAATACCAAATTGAACATTTTAAAAAAAATCCAAATTACCACAATAAAAAAAATTAATGCAAAAAAAATTAATTTAATAGAAAAAAATTAATTGATACGGGTTGGTTAGATATAAAAATCTTGAATGTGATATTTAATATTTATTTTTTATTGCATCAATTACTTTTTTTTCTATTAAATTGATTTTTTTGCATTAATAAAAAACAATTTTTATTGTGGTAATTTGGATTTTTTTTTTAAATGTTCAATTTGATATCTGAATTAAAAAAAACCAGATTTGAAATGAAAAATAAATTTTATTGCATTAATTTTTGGAAAAAAACGAATTTTAGTTATTTTTCTATAATTATTTTGCATGTTGGTTTCCTAAAATAGGAATCAGATGCAAGTTGGTTCCCCAAAATGACGATTTTGAAAGTTGGTTCCCCAAAATAGGAATCAGGTCCAAGTTGGTTCCCCAAAATGACGATTTTGAAAGTTGGTTCACCAAAATAGGAATTAGATGAAAGTTGGTTCCATTTTGATGCAATTTTCCCAAAAAATCACCTTTAAGTTTTTAATTTATAAGAGAAGACCTAAAAATTTCATAAATTTCAACGGTGAGCATGATTAGGTTCGAGTTCGAGTTTGATTCGAGTTGGAGTTTGAGTTTAAAAAATTGCAATCGAGTTCGAGTCAAGTTTAGTTTTAACTACTCGTGAGTTTTCGAGTCGAGTTTAAGCTTGAGAAATGGCTATCAACTTCGAGTTAAGTATACTGATATATCGAATTAGCTGATGGAGAAGACCTTAGAAAAATATATGTTTGATTAACTTAAAATCAATCCATTAAAAATCTTTAAGATTTCGAAATGGAAAATGTTTGGAAGTCACACAGAAGTGCTAGTTACCTAGAAAAATATGTTTACTTCGTTTGTAAACCATCAGAATGCAGATCTTGTTATATGAATGGTGTTAAATTGTTGATGAGTGTTCAATTAAATCATAGCTACGCACGAAATCAATCTATTAGTTAATTCTTCGATTTCCATTATATATATATATATAAAAGGGAGGATCGGACGAGAACAATAGTTATCTAAAAGAACATGAAAACGGGCAAATCACATGTGATTTTACACTAACATCACATCCAAAATCACATATGTGATTCAGTCGACCTTGCCCGCGACCTAAAGATGCAAGCACAAGTCATCTAGACATTTTTTTAACCATTAATGTAAAATCATATGTAATTTTGCATTTGATTTGTCCGTTTTCGTGTTCTTTTAAATAACTACCGTTCTCGTTTAATCGTGCACATACACACACACACAAAAACACACACACACACACACACACACATATATATATATATATATATATATATATAGGACGTTTTGAATGGAACTCATCACATTTGTACAAAAAATGCAACCCAATCAATTGAGATATTTATGTAAATGATGAAAATTCATTTATTATGATTTAAATATTTATGGAAGATGACTATGACTCATTAATTATGATCAATACTTTATATTTGAAAACAATCAAAACTTTTATGAAATCACATATCAATCAAATTAAATGTAAGGTTAAGATTGAGTTGTATTGGTTGTACAAATGTAAAGGGTTAGATAATAACTCATCTATATTTATATATATATATTCCGAAAAGGTTTATTTATATATATGCCAAAGTTTTCCTCTTGCACCAGAAAGTGAACTCCAAAGTATACTCTATTCGTTTGAAGAAATGGCAATGTGTTGTTTAAGGAGGAGAAGTTTTGACTAATAATCAAACGTCTAAAATCATGTTAAGTGTCACAAGTTAATATTTGCTAATACACAAATTAATGGATAAATGTAACCTTGAAACAATTCTACAGATACTTGGAAAACTAGAAAATTGAATGTTTAGAAAAGATGCAAGAAACCCAAAAAAGACAAAAAAAAAACCATTTTCTCTCTTTCACTTTTTTTTTCCCTTTTTCTTGTGTAAACAAGTGATCAAGGTTTTAAACCTCCACAGATACTAATACATTATCATGCAGATTCTTACCCTCAAATGCTGAACAGCATACGACACAATCTGTATATCCCACAGCCCTGGGGGTAGAAAACAGTTCAGCTGCAAATTACTGAATACATATCATACAGAAGATTAAACAAGAGATTAGGAAACCTGTTACAGCTTCATCTTGACTTCTTTAATGTTGATGACTTAAAAGTTAACAAAAACCACTTAGCAACCAAATGATGAGAACAAAAGCTTCAAAATTGATCTAAGAGACCCCGAGTCGAAGTTCCAAATCCAGGTCATCCGACTTTGATTCACCAAGCAAGCCGATCTCCAAATTCAACCTGATAATCTCCGACTTCTTGACGATCTTATTGTCGTTTTCGTTCAGAAAACCATCATATTTATGAACCCCGAAGGAGGGTATTTGAGATTTCATCATGGTTAAATTTGCACTGCCTATAGGTCTCAAACGATACGAGGGTGACAGACATGGCAAGTTAGGTTGTAGAGAAGAGGGAGATGGGGAGATCAAAGGAGATAGCATGGATTTAGATGAAAATGATGGGAACATTGTTGGATTGCATGACAAATTTGAAGAAATATATGGTGAGAAAGTAAGGTTAGGATTAGGGTTAGGGTTTGGATCTTGGTTCAGATTGAGCAAACTGTAGTTAGAAGAGAAACTTTGAGGATGAAGAGGAAGATCCCTTGAGGATGGCATCTGTCTAAGCCTGGCTCTATCTCTCCTATGAACGTTCATGTGACCCCCAAGAGCTTGAGCGGATCTGAACTCCCTCTTACAGAAAGTACAAGTGTAAGATCTTGGAGGCCATGAGAACCCACCAAGCAAATCACCTCCATCTCCAAGACTATCTTGATCAGTAATATTCCCCCATGAATAAGGATCTGTTGCAGCCTTGCTGTCTTTGATGATGCCATTTGTTGCTGATCTTCCGCCATTCTTCTGATCTTTCAAGCTGTTACTATGGTTCATAACGCTGCTTTTCTCCATTGTTGTCCTTTGGTCCATACACCCACACAAATTAACCCTGATGCAAACAGTAAGAAATGCAGATTGACAACAAAAGTAGAGTTTGAGATTTGGGATTTGGGGTTTAGAGAGAGTGGAAATGCCATTAAGATTGTGGGGTATTTATCTGAAAATGTTCCAAATGTTTGGTCACTACTTACTAAAAGTAGAATCCTCGTCCTGGCAGGTCTATTACCCTTTTGCTAAATCTAGCACTGCTCTAGTGGGTGTTTCTTTCTTCTCTTTCAAATAGTGTGTCCCATTCCCTACGCATCAAAAGTCATTAGGGTCCCCTGTTGTTGAATACTATTTGTTTCAGTATTGATACTCTTCAAATAGATTGGGATGTTTTCTTATTCACTGCTCTTAAGGTTTCTATGATTGCCCTATACGTGTCGGTTTGTAGAGGCCATAGGATCATCATATTATTCTTCTTTATGATTCAATCACACATTTTTATTGAATTTCATAAGTCATAAATATAAAATAATATTTTAAAAATAATCATAAGTTAACGTTGGTCGTCCCGTTAGCTATATACTTGTATCACGATATTATAGAGATCAATCCATCGACATCATCCATATCACATCTTGGCTCACTTATATATATATATATATACATACACACACATGTACGTATATATATCTTAGTACAATTATGTGTGTCCTGTGTTAGTCACACGTTGCTGTTCAAGAGTTCAAAATTGGGGGCATATAGAACAAAAAGAAATAAGGAAGCCTTGAGTGACTAGGATGGGAAATAGAAGGAAAAGCATCTTGCCATCATCATCTCATCTGTTAACTATCCTAGAATTAACATTGTAATCCCAATTATTGTCGTGTTGATCACCTTAATTAACAGCAGCTTCATTCCTATTTGTTCCCCTCAATATAGATTAGATCGTAATCCAAAACCTGACCACCATTTATATAAATGTGAATTATTGGTAAATCCGAACATAATGAACTTAAAACTGTATAAAGGAACCCATGTTCACTTATCTATTATTTCAAGAATTATTCACATATGAAGATGAATATGTTAACCCATGTTTTATTTTACCAATAATTCACATATGAATAATTTATTCTTTTCTCAACATTTTAGTCTTTCTTATTTAGATCTCACTTTATATATATACACACACTATGTATAGGGGATTGTTCATGTGAGAAACCACAAAAAAATTTGAGAACCCGTACATTCATTAATGCATATACATTAATGAATTTTAGTAAGTATATGTATGCATCAAGGGGTATTATCGAATGAGAACCTCATATATTGTAATAGCTGTGAGAACTATCATAAGGTATTGTTTTACATGTTTTTTTAATTTAAGGATTGAATTTATATTGATTAACATATACTTGTTTCACATATATTTGTTTCATATATATTAGGTTCACAATGTGAAATTTTGTTATTGTACTTTTTGTTTCATAAACACATAAAATGTTCACATTGTGAAACATATATATGTGAAACAAATACATTGTGAAAACAAATATTTGTAAATCCAATTTCATAGATGAAAAAAAGAACATATGAAATAATACGTGATGCACCGGCTCTCAAAGTTATTATAATTAATAAAGGTCCCCATGCATCAATGCATATATGGTTGGATACATAATAGATATGTATTGATGAATATATTCATTGATGTAATACATTTTTTGATGTTTAAAAATACATACATACATACATATATATGTGTGTGTGTGTGCACGCGCACACACGTATCAATGAATATACAAGTTTTCTGGTTTTCAAATTTTTGGTGGTTTTCACATGAACCTGATCATATATATATATATATATATAGGGGAGCGATCA